TAAATAAGGAAATGCCACTAGAGGGAGTGTTTATTAACGTCGCACTATAAAACAAACACTATTGGAAACTGTCCTCGTAATTTTTTAAACCAAAATCAAGTGACGAGGTTGGCATCTAAGCTGCCATCCTACTCTCCTAACTACCATACCCTGACAACGGGAGCACTTTGAGCCATGACAGACTTAACGGGCAACAGCCCTTCTATACATCGTGTCTTCAGTGGCACACTTGGGCTTGAACTCATGACATGCCGGACAAGAATTTATGAACACAACAACTAAGCTATCGTGGCCACGAGGAAAGGCCCTTAAGTTAAAATATTCTTCATGTGGTTCCAAGGGAATCAATTTAAGGGGAAAGGGAACATAAAATCAAATATACGAGACACGTATTCTAATTGGTAAAATATTCTATAAACAGTTGTATGCAACTATGAACAGTTTTTATTTTTCTAAAATCAGATTATTTTCCAGCCATAAGAAGCTTGGTATTGATCTGGTATTTTTCAATGTTTACATTTTAGAAAAAAATCCTTTTTTTTTACGAAACGTTTCTTTTATTTTTTGTACGATTGAAATTTTGCGTAAACACTACTATATTTTATAAAAGTTGTATTTTTAACAGATAATTAAAAAAAATCACGCATAAATTTTAAATATTTTGAGAATTTGTTTGAAAGTTTTGCGATTTAAAAAGTATTGTGGATGTTTCCTCTTAGAGTTTAAAAACTTTAATAAATATTTCAATTAAAAAAAAAGAACTTATTTTATCTGAAATACGAGTGAAATTTCTGTAAATGAATTATTTTAAATGTATCATCTCAAGGAGCTGTTCGATGTGTGTGAAAAAAATGGCAAATTATTTAATAGTTAAAAAGTTGTGGATACATTTGTAAGCATATTTTATGTACGATAGAAATGTTTGATATTTGAGCCCATTTCCCTTTGAAATATTTATGAATGCACATTTTTATACATTATTTAAATATTCGTTTCTTATTTTCATTGAAATCATCTAATTAAAATTTATTTCGTATTATATCTCCAACTTTTGGCAGAATAGCTATAAAAAAATAACATTTAATTAAAAAAATAATTTAATTTCGAAAAAAAATGCTTTGAGTAAATGCTCGTTACAGGATTAATTGTATTTTAAAATAATTTAACTAAAATGACTGAATGGATTAAACCGAAATCTGCCGAAGTTTTTAATTTTTCTCTTATTTAACATAAAACAATCAAATCCGATATACCGTATTTACTGGAATCTAAACCGCTCCATTTTCCCACTGTTAGTGCTACTGAAAATCGTTTGTGGCTTAGAATAGAAGACAAAACATTGGTTTCTTTGAAGAATTTGAGTTTCTACCTCTTTCAAAAGGAAAAATATAACTCTCTAATTCTGGCCACTTGCATCGATGACTTATCCCATTTCGCATGTGACGGGTCTTTACGCGACTTTCAACAACCAATCCTCTGGGGGAATATTTGGGCTAGCATTCGCGTTTATTTCACAGCAATCCCTCTCAAGAAGAAACCTTGAGATGCAAATTAGTTAGCGTGTATAAAGTTAGAGTTTAATAATTGTAGGTCAGAAGGAGTAGAGCATCTAAACGCAGTGTTACTATGGTAAGAATTAGAATTACGCATCATGACTGAAAGACGGATTTTGGCTACTAGACTAAATTAGTGAATCCAGAATTATTAGGATAGGATTGATTAAAGCTAAACTAAGCTGATTTCGTGCGCTTATTCTCATAAGGTAGTTGCTTTCTTTATATAATTCATAGAACTCCCTTTCATAAATTAATTGTTATGGAATAATATAATTGATAATAATAAATTAGATTTATCATGGAGAGTCTTGGTGACACACACACACACATTCAAAGTTACCTCCCACAGCTTTAGGTAGACAAGATGATGAGGAAGCGACTTCAGGTGTAAGATCATTACACCCAGTTTATCTCCATTATGGTAGTCACCCATCAGGTATAATGTTAAGCGACGCTGACTGCAGTGCCGTAGGGACTGGGTTCGAATCCCGGAGAAGACATGGATGCTTGTAAATGAATAGTGCCTTTGCGGCATGGGGCTACTCTAAATAGCCGTAGAGCCGCAAGTCCTCTGGTGAGGTCGGTGGCCCCTGACCACCCCCAGGAGTTCTCCCTCAAAATTGGGGAGGAGATCATCCATATCGTACTGACACCTGTATGGTGCTCAAAGCTACGGCTAGCGACAGGCATCACTTAGCTCTTTGCCATGATGAATTTCGTCGGCCTCGATCTGGCCTTTGCCGACCAGGTGACATCAGTAACAACATATGTGTGTAATTCAATCTCTCCTAAAAATCAAAGATATTGGTAATATCATCAATATGAGTTCACTATGACGCAAGTATGAAAAGGTAGGCAATTTTATATGCAGGAAAAAGAGTAGCGGTCATTGAGAGAAATTTTGACACGGATGAAACAGATACACGTTGATGGCATAAACAAAATGATATAATTTTTACTTATAATTGTTGAACACACACAGTCTTTCATAATTCTCTTACTTCCTTCTGTAATGCATTCTTTCCAAAAAACGTAGTATACAACTGCATTGGATGACATGCAAGACGATTCCGTGTGGAAAAATGTCAACGTTGGCAGTAATACGAAATCAGCTGTGTCAAATGGGAGTGATGAATTACTTACAAAATATGATACTCAGGCGATTAGAGTAATTATACGTCCATCTGTGTATTTAATGTTTTACTCTGGTCAAATACTGGTCAAATAAATTTTAATTATTAACTTCTTATTATTTCTCATTAAAACATTAAAATTTTTTCTCTTCTTAAGTATCGGATATCGATGAATTCTTTACACATTTTTTAAATATTTTTTCTCAAAAACGAAGAGAGGAATTGACGTTGCAGCTTAGAATCGATAACAATATTTTTTCACAAAAACATTTTGAGAATTCGGGATGCGGCTTGGAATCGATGCCGGCTCAGATTTGAGTAAATATGATAATTCAAAGAAATTCTAAAATGTTTTGAAGATTTTTATAATAATGATGATAGTAAAAAAATGCTATTCCATGTTGATATGTTAATGTAGAGATTAAGAATGTTAATATAAATTCAAGTTTGACAATTCAAACAATGTTCAAATTATTGAAAAATGATTTTAAGAAAAATGTTAGAAGAATAACTCATGAGAGAGAGAGAGAGACAAAATCTTCCGATATTAATGCTGTAAAAATGCCTTATAATATGAGATTTTTAGCAATGAGTGGTCAAGATGAGTTGATGGGAAAGAAAAAATGCCTTTTTTTCAATTCCTACTATTAGTTCACACTCTCCCTATATACTCTCTATAACTAAAAAAAACGACGCACTAAGAACGAGTAGTCGGATAAAGACAAAAACTGGTGGGTAGAAAGATTATGTACAGAATAAAAATGATTAAAATTTCAAAATAATTCAAAGATTTATTTCAAAGTTGCATAGTTACAAAATAAAGAGCTCAATAAGATGTTGACCCACCTCTAGTCAGGAAGCAAGCTACCACACGAAGTGGCATAAAGTGATAAAGCACCCTGATGGTCTCCTGTGGTATTTCTTACAAATTTTACTCCAATTTTTGGGTCAGGTCATCAACATTCCCTGGTAGATGCAGGCTCCTTCCCATCATGTCTCAGACATGTTCGATTGGGGAGAGATCTGAAGGAAGTGTTTAATAAGCTGTAAAAGAGTTCATACCAACACATGCCGTATGTGGTCAGTCATTATCTTCATGAAAAAGAAGGCCAGAGTACTGTAAAAGGGAAGGTAGCAAAATAGTTCTCAGAATGGCGTCTACGTACCGCTGTGCTGTAAATGTGCCTCTAATGACGACCAAAGGGGTCCAGCTGTCAAAAGAAATGGCACGCCAGACCATAACTCCTGGTCTAGGACCTGAGTGGCGTGCAATAGTGAAAGCAGGACCGGCACGCTGCCCTGGGCGTCTCCAGACACGTCTTCGATGATCATCAGTTCACAGTTGGAAACGGAATTCGTAGCTAAACACTATATGTCCTCAGTAAGCAGGATTCCAACCTGATTTATCCAAGCACCACTGTAATCTGGCTCAATAGTGAGCAAGCGTGAGTGGCAGGTGGTGCAACGGTCGGCACGAGCGTAAATTTCGCTTTATTAGGTGTCTGTGGATAGTCATGGTGGACACTCGTGTGTGTGTCGCACATCTAATTGTTGATAACGATGAATCAGGTCGTGTGAAAGCTGATCTAGCAATCAATCTGTCCTCCCGATCTGCTGTGGCACTAGGTCGACCGCTACCATCATGACACTGAAATCTGCCACTGTTCCCACTATTCTTTCCAGCATCTTCTAATGACCGCATCGCTTCAACCCATATGATCAACGATTCTCCGATTTGCCCAGCCTGCCTCTTTCAATCCAATGATACGACCTATTTCAATCTCTGACAGTTGCTCGTAATGAGCTCGAATCCTGCAGAGAGGCATTTTTTCATTCCTTGAAAGGTAACCTAAATCACAATACAACAGAAATTTTGACTATCAGACTGAGAATCGCTTCTTATAAATACCTGCTGAGTGCGCAGTTTCGATGCACTGTAGCTTTTGCTATTCATTCATTGAACACCAAATTTTAATCATTTGCATGTTCGGTGATAAATGTCTTCGCTTACGAAATTTCATTACAATCGGGCAACTCCTTCTTGGTGCGTCGTTTTTTTTTTTTGTTATAGAGTGTAAAAATATATTTTTTTTGAAATTTTCAATCATCAATAAAATCGTTTATTAATCGTTTTATATATCCACTCAAGTTCAAATACATTTTTTAAAACTTGTAGTGGATGACACTTGATGTTAATACAGTTTTTTCAAATATTAGTTCATTAATTCTATTTAATTAAGGAATAAATAGTAACAAACAGGAATGATAGTCCAACACCACATATAAAAAAGAAAATAGCTCGTTGTGTCTCCGTCGTGCAATGGATAGCGTGTTGGACTTTGGATCGAATCCAAAGGTCGTGGGTTCGAATCTCACGTGAATGCCTAATTTCTGAGAATGTGATTTCTCTTTTACTACACTATTTTATTGGAATAATTAAATTAAATCGATGAATAAAGAGTGACAAAAAATAGTCCAACATTACATAGAAAGGAAATGGAAATTTGCAACGAAAATAACTTTCTATTTTGTCACTTAGTATTGTGATTCTGTCATTTGTATATACATATTTATATTAATTGTAATTATTTAATAAAAAGTAACTAAAATAAAAAAATTTTTGTGGACCAAAGTAGGAATAGACTTAATTTTTTTGTACTACTTGTTATCCAGAAAAAAAATTTGCAGAGATAAAATAAGAAACAACGTTTTGCCTTTATAAAACTCTATCTGCAATAAAGAAAGATTATTCACTGACTTGTCTCAGCCGTCGAGTAAGCCATTCAAAAAGCATTCTGACCACACAAAATGTCTAAGAATAGAATGGAAGCAATTCCCAATTCCTATTATCGTAAGCTTTATTCCTTTTTAGAGCAATCTTGTTACTTTTTATCAACCATGCAAAGCATTCAAGAAAACAAAAGGCCTTTTTAAGAGAGGAGAGGAAAGACAACTTTCCTTTTATGTCTCTATTTATATTACAGAAAGTCTTCTTTATAGAATTGTGAAATATTTTTTTCAAATGCATTTTTTTATTTGATAAGAACATTTGCGAAACTTTTTCCTTGTTTCAGTAATTCTAGACAGACTGATACGGTTTTAAAATTCCGTCAGTTTTTAAAAACATGTGTATTAGGGGGATCGCATATACACGGAAAAGAAACATTATTAATAATCGGAATATATACCAATTCGGAAAAGATGTTCTAAAACAGGGGTGTCCAACACGCGGCCCGCGGGCCGCATGTAGCCCGCCAGTACGTAAGTTGCGGTCCACCGACTTTTTTTTAAAAAAAAATTTAAATATCAGGTTTTTAAAGTTTTTCATTTTGAAATTTATTTGAGGGGAAATATTATATTTATATATATACATATAATATCTACAATGTATTTGCCTGTTACCTGTTCTTGTTTTAAAACAAACTCTTTTTGATAATATAAATGTCCTTTTGATTGATTGAATATTAACGTCGCACTGTTCAGCTACACGAGGGCTTTTGGCGACGGACCACGTAATTTTGAACCATGGTCAAGTGACGTGGACGACACCTGAGTTGGCACTCCCTCTCCTAACTATCACACCACACCAACGGGAGGACGTTTCAGCTTTTGACATATTTAACGTGCATCGCTGCCCTACACGGTGGATCTTTGTTGGTACTGGGCTCGAACTCGTGACAAGGCAAGCCACGATCCTATACCTATACCTATCGGCTACGGCGGCCACATAAATGTCTTTTAGATTAAAATAGATTTATATTTTATCAAATAGTTACATTTGATTTTACTATAATAAATTACTTTTTTAATAAATTCCGAATTGCACTGTGCATATCTTTTACTATGGATGGTACATGATTCTTTGTGTGTGCGACTTTCGTTTCTCCTCCTTTTCTGTTTGGAGTGCCCAAAAAACAAGTGGCAGTCAGAGATGTTTTGTAAAGTTTAAAAAAAATATTCAGAACGGTTAAGATAAAGGGCAATGTAAACTTAATCGTTTGCGAATGACAGCCCAATAAAATTTCAACAATGAGTAACGAAAGTCAATTCAAAAGGAACACCATAATTTTAGAGAAAATGGCAACACACAAACCATGTAATATTTTAAACATTATTTCATCATTGCATTATTATATTATATTAACATTATTATACACTCAAGAGCATTGAAAATAGCGACCCAAGAAGAAAGCATCGGATTGAAATGAAATTTAATACACATAATAAGACAGATGAAAGATTCACTTGACCTCAAAAACAAGACAATTAAACGATTACAGGGTGCGCAACGACACAAATACTGGACAACTTCAATAGCGCGTTGGACCACCTCCAGCTGCAATACATGCCGCCCCACGGTCCGGCATTGAGTTGATTAGACACCTTATGATGTCCTGAGGCAGATGGGCCCACAAATCTTTAACAACCAACTCTATATCATGCACAGAGTGACACGATGGCATGTGACGTTTTAGCTGATCCCACACGTGCTCTACAGGGGACAAATCGGGGGAGCGGGCTGGCCATGGAAGAGTCTGAAAATGACGCAGGAAGTCTTGAGCAACTCTTGCTGTATGCGGACCAACCTTATCTTGCTGGAAAATTGCCCCTGGGACACCATTTAGGAAAGGTCCTACATGGGGTCAAAGAATATCATCAAAGTAACGGTGGCCCATTAAGTTTCCACGCATCACAATTAAACTGGATCGGCTATCATATGCTATGGCCCCCTCAGACCATTACACCAGCTGTGCGGGTAGTGTGACGTAGAACAGTGTGGGGGGAATTGTACCTTTCACCAGGGCGCCTCCACACCCGTACACGGCTATCATCTGTCTCCAAAACAAACCGAGATTCATCACTAAACACAACCTTTTGCCAATCTGTGACATTCCACATTGATCTGGCTTGGCACCACTGTAGACGCAGTTGCCGAAGTTCCTGTGTTGAAGGGAGTGCACGGAAAGGGCGCTTGGATTTAAGATTTGCTTCAGCAAGGTGTCTGGAAATTGTTTGTGGAACAATTTCTACGCATACATCTGCTCGTATCGTTGAACGAGTCACTGTTCTGTCCACAAGTGCTTGCCGCACGATCCTTCGATCCTGTCTCCTCTTGGTCTTTCTGGTCGCTCCAGTCCCGGTTTTCCGCGCGTGGGTACCTTCTCGTGTCCACTGCTCCCAACAATTTCTAACGACACACTCCGAACGATGCACCTGGCCAGAAACACGGCGCGTCGACCAGCCTGCAGTTTTTATCTCGATGATCCCACACGTGCTCTACAGGGAACAAATCGGTTGAGTGGGACGACGATGGATGAAAATGACGTAGGAAGTCTTGAGAAACTCTTGCTGTATGTGGACGAGCATTATCTTGCTGGAACATTGCCCCTTGGAGATCATTAAGGAAAGGTCCTACATGGGGAGGAAGAATATCATCAACGTAACGTTAGTCCGTTAAGGTTCCATGTATCAAAATTAAAATGGACCGGCTATCATAGGCTATGCCCCCCCCAGACCATAACACCAGCTGTGTGGGCAGTGTGACGTAGAACAGTGTGGGAGGAATTATACCGCTCACCAGGGGCCCCCACACCCGTACACGATTATCATCTGTCTCCAAAGCTAACAGGAATTCATCACTAAACACAACCTTTTGCCAATCTGTGACATTCTTGGAACTGGAACATTGATCTGGCTTGGTACCACTGTAGACGCAGTTGCCGATGTTCCGGAGTCCACGGAAATGGCGCTTGGCTTTAAAATTTTCTTCTGCAAGGTGTCTGGAAATTGTTTGTGGAACAATTGCTACGCCTACGTCTGCTCGTATCGTTGAACGAGTCACTGTGGGGTCCACAAGTGCCCGCCGCACGATCCTTCAATCTTCTCTCCTCTTGGTCTTCCCGGTCGCTCCAGACCCGGTTTTCCGCGCGTGGGTACCTTCTCGTGCCCACTGCTCCCAACAATTTCTTACGGCACACTCCGAGCGATCCACCTGGCCAGCAACACGGCGCGTCGACCAGCCTGCAGTTTTCATCCCCATGATCAAGCCTCTCTCAAACTCGCTTAACTGTGAGAAATGTCTTCCAGCACGTTTACCTGGCATGTTTCGCTTACCAAAGTCTTCCTACAAACAACGGGTAATCGTCATGTTTATGAATCTTCGAATTTACGCTGGCTTATATAGCACCCTCTTCCTGATTGTAGCGCCACATCGGCGTGTATGAGCATGCTTATTGGCATAAAACTTGGATCATTTGCATATCACATTACGCTGTACTTATTTGCAAAGTTTCACGATTGTACTTAGCTTCCTTCTTGGGTCACTATTTTCAATGTTCCTGAGTCTATTATGTATGTCTGTATACATGGAAAATAATGAAAACAATAGTAATAATTCATTCTGTTCTAAATTTTTGCTCCGATAAATATTTTTTTTTGTTTCCAAATCTGATATAAAGGTATATATTTTTATGTGTGGCCCGCGAGATTATAATGTTTTTCCGAAGTGGCCCGCAAGGTCATTTAGGTTTGACATCCCTGTTGTATGGGCTATGGAATTTAGAAGAAAAATAATTTCAAAATTTATAATATTGCTACAAAAAGGGATTGAATTTCCGAAAAAAAAGGGGAATAAAAAATTTGATTTTGTTCAGATAATTTTAAATTCAAAGTAATTATTTTTTTACAATATAAATATCCAATTGTGGTTACTACAGATGAGTAATCATTAGTAAATAATTAGTAAGTAAGTAGTCAGTAATACATTGCGCATAAATTTTCATATATATATAACCTCAGTTCTCTCTCCTCATAGGGCAGCGGTAGCCCAGTGGTCAAGGTATCGGATCATGGCAGGCATGTCATGTGAGTTCGATCTCAGTACCATTAAAGACACGCGCTGTGTAGCAGAGCGATGCACGTTAATTCTGCCGAGAGCTCAAACGTCCTCTCGTTGGTGTAGTGTGGTGTGGTAGTTAGAAGAGGGGGGCTTCCAGCTCAGGTATCTTCTTCGTCGCTTGACCAGGTTTCAAAATTACGAGGTCCGTCGCCAAAAGCCCTCGTGTAGCTGAAGAGTGTGACGTTAATATTTACTCATTCATTTTCTCTCCTCAGACTGATCCAAGTTGTTTTCTGTCTTTCTGTTTATCGTGCTCTGAACTTAGTTTTGTCAGTTGGTTTTCATTCAATTCCCCTACTACTAGATAACTCCTTTTCTAATATATACACTCTGTCGCAAAAAATATATGCACCCAGAAGAAATTGAGCTACATTCACGAAATTTGGTATGCATGTAGTGTATATGAAAATAAACAAATTATTAAAAATTCAGAACAAAATATCATTTTATTAAGCGGTTACAGCTTGCAAAAGGTTAAAAATCAGT